AGTTGCGGCTGGTATTAGCCCGAACAATTCCTCGGAGCACTCTCCATGATATATGCGATAGAGAATGCAGAGTGAAGCCACATCTCTACGTAACGCCAACTTATCTTCCTTAAAATGTCATTGCATACAAAGCTACATTACAATTTACATACATACTAGTGGTTAGTGACATACATAGTGACCCTGACTGCTAAACAGGAGGTCGTGGGTCCGATTCCCACCCAGGACAAATATTGTGTGATGAGCACGGTCATTTGTTCTGTGTCTGGGTGTAATTTATCTATAATATGTATGTATTTAGTAATATATAAGTATGTTTATCAGCAGTCTGGTTACCATAGTACAGGCTCTGCCTAGTTTGGGATCAGATGGCCGTGTGTGAGATGTGTGAGGTATATTATTATTATAAAAAACCGGTCAGGTACGAGTCGAACTCGTGCGCCGAGGGTACCCAGATTTTAGGTAGATTTTCGCGAAAATTTGTAAGTAACAAAATTGATCTTAATTTTAAACTTTTTTTTTGGAATAATTCCTTTATTAGTGCTGTAAGACGTTTCTTTTTGCCAAATTTCGTGATTCTAGGTCAACGGGAACTACCATATAGGTTTTCGACCCAAAACCTACAGGGTTTTTACGGTTGACCTAGAATTGTCAATTTTGGTTAAAAGCAAGGTCTTACAGCAAAAGTAAAGAGACATTTTTGTAAAATTAAAAAAGTTGAAAATTAATGTGTTTTCGCGAAAATCGAAATTTGCCCATATCTTTTTATCGTGTTGACTCAGGACCTTGATTTTTATACACCTAATAGGGACCATAGACCTCAGTATCTGGTATAAATTTCAACTTGCTAGGTCTACCCGTTCCTAAGAAAATCGGTGGTGACACACGGACAGACGGACAGACAGACAGACGGACAAGAAAGTGATCTTATAAGGGTTCCTTTTTTACCTTTTGAGGTACGGAACCCTAAAAGTAAGATTTCGACAAGACAATTACATATAGGTTAAAATATTTATTCATGTAGTTACAAGTGACGATGATAAATGCGTGTTAAATTGATTTTGTACCCTTTAACTTGTCTATGCTAATAATATAAATGCGAAAGTGTGTCTGTTTGTCTGTTAACTCTTCACGCTTAAACCGTTAAACCAATTTTGACGTGACAACGTCTTATAATTCGATGGAGCCGGCTGCACGCACGAAAAAACATGACTCATGCGGCGTTACCTCGCTCTGAGGCGTTCCATTTAAGGCTTGAAGTGCAAGCGAGAACGCGGAACGAGCGACAAAGAGGCACAATCGGCCTCCGCCTTCGGCAGCGTTTGACATCTGTCTCTCTCCTACTTGAGTGAGCGATGCGTCCGCGTGGACAGCTGCTACTCGTATACAATACATTTTTGAAAAATGCAACCATTCCATCAGTATTTTCTTATGACGTTGTCACGTTCAACTATCGTCAGTAAACCAACTTTACAGACAACCGATTTTTTATTAAAAGAGAAGAGAAAAGAGATTGTTTGAGTCCCGGGAAAGGACATAGGATAGTTTTTATATCAGAAATCATCTTCTAAGGGGGTCAGAATAGGGAGGGAGGGAGTTTGTACGGGGAATCAATAACCGCTGAATCGATTTGGATGAAATTTAGTATGGAGATAGTTTGATTCTTGGCGAAAAACAAATGCTACTTTTTACTGCGATAACTCGCGTAGCCGTGTGCAAATTAGTTTAGAAAATATTTTGTAACTACCCCTTTCTTAAATAAGTTTAGCATACGGAAACATACCACATTCGGATTACTTAATGTTTATATGTAGAACAAGTGCACAAAGCTAACATTTCGTAACAATATACGAAATAAAAAAAAAGTTAAAAACCGGCCAAGTGCGAGTCGGACTCGTGCACGAAGGGTTCCGTACATTATATACAAAAACGGCAAAAAAATCACAATGTTGCATGGGAGCCCCACTTAAATATTTATTTTATTCTGTTTTTAGTATTTGTTGTTATAGCGACATGAAAAATACATCATCTGTGAAAATTTCAACTGTCTAACTTTCACGGTTCAAGAGATACGGCCTGGTGACAGACAGACAGACAGACGGACGGACAACGGAGTCTTAGTAATAGGATCGGGACCCTTTGTAAACCAAAAACTAAGTAAACAATAATAAACGCGTGATCAAATAAATGTGGATATATTTTCTGTGTGCCTTAGATCACATTAATATTTGTAAATAAGTTTAAAATTTAAACGCGGTCACGAAATAAAAATAGGAAGGTAGAATTAAAATGACCAAAAAATGCAGTCCGACAAAAATCAGAATTGAGAATCTATCGGAAGAATAAACAAAACTGTAATGATTAAAAGTTAATCAATTAATATTCGTTTGTTATTTATTTTACCTGCCTTAGTTTAATAATACACAGATAACTCTAGTTATAAGGAAAAACTATAATCAATAACTACATAAAAAAAATATTCGAACACAAAGTCCTTTGCATATACAAACCGTTTCATTAAATATATTTGTATGACAAAACACATTATAAAAATGAAATAAATAAAACACTTACCTATGATCCGTCCTGTTTTACATGTGATTCTTACTCCACCGATCGTAATTATTATGTTTATTTTAAGCTGATATCTGAAACACACCCCTCTAGGTTTGAGAACAAAGTCAGACTGACCACAGATAACTATTTACTAGTAAACTGACGTGACTGAATGAATGATGTGACAGTGACGTTTATTTCTTTTCCAATAATGCTGCGAACTAGTTTACATGTATTTTAGTCGATTAATGTGTCATAGACATTAGTTTGATTGATGTCTATTATTTTTCTAAAAACTCCAAGCCATGCGTCGTCACAAATGGGTCGCCTCGACTGGAATGTTTCCAAGGTCTCTCAGAAAACCTGTGTCAGGTCACTGGTAACAAAATCCTCTCCCTCCCCCTGGTTCTAGAGCGAGGGACTGATGGGGTGGCAACGCACGTATGACTCTTGAGTAGCAAGTGTTCAGGCGGTAGTCACTTACCATCAGATGACCCCCTAAATATACAGACTCGTAGGTACACACGTAATTTCCGATCTAAAAAAATAATTAGTTTAAGATAATAAGGTAATCCTTTTAAAAAAAGTTGAACCAATTTCAAACAATACTACCAAGAACACTAAAAACCTAGCAGCAATCGCGGTTCCTTTGCTGTCATTTTTTGAAGTTCCGTTTTCTGTCTCCGTAACTCGTAATCAGATATACATGAAATTTAAACGGGACCATTTCGAAATGAACGAACAAAAACAGATTTTTGCAAATCCGTCTATATATGACGAGGTTATGCCCGAACAGACATTAAAAAAATAACATCATCATCAAACATCCGAATTGACAACCTCCTCCTTTTTGAAGTCGGTTAAAATATGATGATAAACCTCTAAAATATTTAGTTAATTAGAAGTTAATTTTCTTAATTACTTATCATATAATTAACTATTCATATTGGCAATTATCCGCATCTATTAAGAAATGTCAAAGCTTTTTAAGTATGGACTTTCACATTTTAAATTATTCATCACTCAAATCATTTTGTACATATCTGAAAACAATCTCGTAAAGTACGCTCTTAAATGTCTGTGTAGTGACGGATTAAGAACACGGAATATCACTACCCCAATTCATCCCGTTGGTGTCATAAGAGCTGACTAAGGACGCAAAACAACGCAGAACACCAGCACTGCAAAAAGAAGGAAAACTTGACACAAACCCTATACCAACCCCTCTGGCCAGCGTGGTATAGTAGGCCAAAATCTCCTTTCTAAGGAGAGGCCTATGTCCAGCAGTGGACTATTAAAGGCTGTTGATGATGGATGATGTTGATGAAAGTACGCTGTTTATTGATATTAAAATTTTACAAACTCAAAGCTAAAACATTATATTTCTATCTTCTATATACATAAAAATCTAAAGTTGTTTTCTACACGCTTCAGAAACTTATAAAAGTACTGCGCTGATCGAGTTCAAATTTCGACACGAAATACCCGCTTCAAAGATTGTTTTTATCTATTTTTCGGGTCAGTTTTATTCCTCATTTCACATCAATGCAACCGCAATATACCACAGTAAAGTACAGCGGAGTACAGCTAGTATTGTTCATAATATTTACTGTAAACTGTGCTTTGAAATAAATAATCTACTTCTGGCCGTCAATTCAATCGTGAACTTAGAGTCATTCTCGAAACGCTCTGGAAACAGAGCGGGAATGGTTTCATTCTGTTAAAATGCTGAAACCTCCTTTCTAAGGAGAGGCCTATGTCCAGCAGTGGACTATTAAAGGCTGTTGATGATGATGAATATGCTGATTAAAGAGCGTTTCCAGAGTGTGTTTGTTACATCATTGTTACATTAAAGTGGATACATCTTGATACCAAAATGTATCCAAAGAGGATGTATGCTGAAACCATGGTGAAAACAGAGTAATTACATATTGAAACCATATTGTATTCATAGTAAATTCATACTGAAACCAGAGTAAAACTATAGTGAATACATTTTGACATTCTGAAACCAACATGGTTACAAAAAGTTTCCATACTGTTTACATAGTGTTTCATTAAGTTCGCGAGAGATTTCTTAAGAAAACACATGAATAATGCATTCACTTCAAAAATGACAACAATAACTCCAAAAGTTTTTTTTACAATCCTTTAACACTTTTCGCGAAACTTTCTAATTATAATTATGAACAATGGACTAAGTACTTACGGTTAAGTAATTTCAATGCACATTAGCTAATTGGACTTATCACTAACTATTCTGTGTATAGCGATTAACAATAGCCGCGCAGGTAGGCAATGCTACTTACCCGAATTCTATAAATAGGAGTAATTTTATAATTTTATTCAGTTTATTTACAACCATTTCGGTGTACGGTAGGCAGTAAATTTTTGATTATCGTGAGACTTATCCTTGCATAAAAACGTTTACATTATATAAAAACATGGAAGCCCAACAAAATAATGTTACAACCAATAATTCTGATGTCACAATGGCTGAAACTGCCAATCAGTTGGTCAAACAAATAACTGTGCCATCCGAGGGAGTGCCCGAAAGAAGCATTTTCAAACTCCTTGAAGAAGACCCCTTGAAACACTTAGACTACATCCAGACTCTAGGTGTTCAAGATAAGTCGCTCATGCCAAGACTCGCAAGTCACGCATCTGGGAAGGCTATCGAAATAATCTGCGAAAAAATACTCCACAAAAGAAGTAATATAAAGGAGGATTTTCTTGATGTTTTCTACCTATTCTTTTTCCCGTACTTTTTACAAAGAAAATACACTTGGTTCTGTTTGCACTTGCTTGTAAAAGCAAGCAAAGCACATCCGAATCGTTTCCAGACGACCATGAAGACATTATTGGTGAACACAAAGATCCAGAGCTGCATCCTCCAAGACTACGTACAGCGGCTCAATGAAGTAGAGTGTGCTAAGATGTTGCAGTTGTATGAAGAACTATACTTCAATGCAGAAACATTCGCTCATATTTTACCCGTGACATATCTGTTATGTAAAAATGGTGGTATGACGGACGACACCTTTCCTCTTATCTACTCTGGGCTAAACAGGTATCGTGATTTTTGTGCTCAAAACAAAAACTACGGTAAATTATTATTGTTCGTCGTCCAAAATGTGCATGAACGGAATGTACGGCCAAAACACTTAAAGAAACTGATCCAGGCCCATCGGACTATTTATAAAAGTCTGTGCAGATTTGCGTTCGTAAAATTTCTTCTTAAATTAGAGAATCAACAAGAAGAAATTTATTTTGAGCCTCTGATTACAGTACCAAGGCCACTAGATGTATTGCAAATTTAGAGTTGTAAATGTCTCTAACTTTAAGTACATTTTGTAGGAATATAATAGAGGAATCTCATATTAATTTATATTTAAAGCTTAGTTAAGCTCTTATTTAAGTTGTTAAGTTCAGGTTTATATTTAAGTTTGTCTAGTTTTAAGTATATTTTAGTCTTAAATTATTCTTGACTTAGTTTTGTAGTGTATAGATAGTTTTATTAAAATCATAACGGTTTATACTTTGTACTAGGTAGTATTCTATTACTGTATTTTATCGAATACATTTTTTTTTTAATTTCAGACTCAAAAAGCTTTATTTCTTTATAAAAACACTTTCTTTTTCGCAACAATTTCGAACTACTACGTTAAATATTTATTCATTTATATTTTTGTTAGTCATAATGTTTTCATAATCCTTTTACATTAGTATGGTTATATTATATTTATGATCTCATTATCGGTGTAAAACTTAAAACATTTGTGTTGTTTTGACTTCAGCTTTTCAACTATCTTGTAAACCTATATTGTAATATTATTACCGTTAATAAACGTTATGTGAAAAATACCTTTTGTATTCTTTGATTTTCCAATTTGATTTTTTAATTTCTTCAGTAGGTACTTGACCGACTTGGTCTTTGAAATAAGAGTTCTAATATTAAATGTATTTACTTAACAATAACCCCAAATGGTTTTTTTACAACCCTTTAATACTTTTCGCGAAACATTATAATTTTGGATACTAAACTCAGTACTTAGGGTTAAGTCACTTGAATGCACATTAATTAGCTAATTGGACTTATCTCTAACCATTCTGTGTAGAGTAATTAACAATAGACCCGCAGGTAGGCAATGCTATTTACCCGAAGTATATAAATTCGAGTATTTTTAAAAGTTTCACAAATTATTCAAATTCTTGTCCAAAAACACTTATGAATTTTCAAATAGCCTAATTACTAAGTAGGCTGTGTACGTACACTAATAAAACTTTGTAACAGTACATTAATAAAGCAAGTATATTAATATACTTGCTACAAATACTTTAGTATATTAAAAAAGTAAAGGCAAAGAAGTCCAGAGATTATATTAGACTTGGATACACTATGGAAAGACTAAGTTTACTGCTATCGATGAGATCTCGATGCGATTGCCCTCGAATCAATGCGATCTTCATAAACGGCGTAATTAATGTGGGTACTTTCATTGCCCGGCTGCCAAGGAAGGGTTAAGTTTTTCGCGCGTATCTGGTAACATTGTTTTTAAATTTCTTTGTTAGTCATAGTTATTTTATTAGTCACCAACAAATAAATAATTAACAAAATAATAATAGTAATAGTATTTAAACAAATAACATAATTGTGTCGTCATTAGTTATCATTCCTGCATTATCATTAACATTTTGAATTAGTCATTTTAATATAAAATTAATAATTAAATATGTGCAAATAATATAATGTCACTGGTTGTCTTACATATACGTATTTTGGTGGTCCAAAAAAAAAGCTGTTAATTTTATTTTAAGGGCACCCGCATATATCGCACTCTTTATATCCTTAGGCAACCTATTACACAGTTTTACTTGATATCTAGGATCTATAAAGATATTACCACATTTAATTGGGGAATAATATTCTTTTTAAAATCTTTTCAACGGGTCTCTTCCCTAGCTTTTCTTTATGTACTATTTTCAAAACTACATTTCTGTTTTACTAGGAACTGTAAGAATTTCTAGGCTTGTGAAGTATGGTCGACAACTCTTTCATTGTGGCACCCGAACCATAGTGCGACAGACAGTTAAGATATCATTTTATAAAATAATAAAAAAATCACTATTCATTACTTTTCTGTTAAATAATTGTTCTTGTAGTAACGTGTAGGCTTGTCTTACTACACCCCTAGATAATTATGGTTTGTTTGTCAGGGCCGCCAATAGCTGCTTGAAGGCCGCGTGCAATACCGTTTAAGCTGGCCTATGATTCCCCGAATGTAAAACTGTCGTCAATAGGAAATATTTTGAAATACCCACACGCGCCCTCGTCTCGAATGATTATATTGTTAGGTTTAACATAGTAATGCAATGCTTACAAATGTCTGTGTTTATTTATGATAGTGATCAACAGATGTCCTTATCATGTTTATGACATAATAGAGATATATTCCTAAAGTCCTTTGACAGTTTGTCTTTCAAATACATGACATTAGCGAAATTGTTGTTACACTCTACCACAAAGCCATTAACCAAAAGTTGAAGTTGAGATATATTCCATCAAAAACAGTTTCATGTAAAATGTTGCCAAGACGAGAGCATATAGAAGAATGATTTTAGCTTTAATGTAGAAAATCGTTTTTTTACGGATCAGGGGGCAAACGAGCAGACGGGTCACCTGATGGAAAGTGACTACCGCCAGCTGCGGCCATGAACGCTTACAACTCAGGCGTCACAAGCGCGTTCTACAAGACACGAATACATTCAAAGATATTTTAAATGTATACTTTTTAAAGTTTGAAACTGGCAATTGAATCTCCTAATACAGTTTTTCAACACTAATTTTAGATTTTATTAATTTAATATTAATTTTTAATTTAATTTTATATTTAGTCGATTGCTTCGTAAGATTCGTCCTATGGCCAACTCTAAAAACGGCTTATCTTGCTTGACATTTGTTTGTTTTTATATATCTAGGTTTATTTAAAGTCAATTAATATATAATTTTATTCGATAATTCGATACTTCTCTTATGAAGCTACGTCCCATTTCATAGCTTACATTTCTTTTCAACTGGAAAGTATTTTCGAAAAGTAAAATTTCGATGCGAGGTGCACAAATTAAGATTTAGGAATAAATCATTAAATTCCTTTTCAGATAGAAATGTGCGGCAGAATGCCTTATATTTGGACATTTTCACCAGACTCTAAACCACTTTTAGAGCAATGCCTTAATGCCGCAGCTATGTTACCGCCAGATAACAATAATAAATGGTTATTACGATTTGGACCCAAAAACTTAGATCTAATTAAAAAAACTGATGACATAGATTTAACTGAAGATTTTCCTGAACTAGATATCACTGATAGACCTGCAGAAAATCAAGAAAATATACAGAAACTTGTTGAAGTTTTGATTGATCCAGATTTCGACATAGTGTCTAAGTTCCACCTCATATATGAAAAGTGTAAAGAAAAGCCAAAATTGCTTACCAAATTAGCTGAAAATCTTCCATCTGATATTATAGAGAAATTAACTTATCATATATTTGATACTACAAACAAAAGCAATCAGTTTTTACAATATTTTTATGAATACTTTGTTCCTGTATATATCAAAAAGAGTAACTCTCGGCTTTGTACTGAGTTATTACTTAAAGCTAATAAATTACATACTGACTGTTTTAAAATCTTACTTAAAGTGATTCTTAAAGACACTGACATACAAAATACTATAATTAATGACTTCATATGTACCTTGAATGTTGATCAACAAACTAAACTGCTGACTGACATAAACAATATAGAACTATCTGGTGAAGAATTTTCACATAATGTATTCAATATCTACACAGCTTATAAAAGTTGTAATAAAACTGAAAATATACAAAATACTATATTATCTTTGTTAAAAACTCATTCGGTTCACTGTTCTGCAGATAAAAGTTATGGTAAATTACTGCTGGCTTACCTACAACAAGAGAAGATTTTTAAAACTAATAGTAATTATGTAGAAATTGAAAAAATTATAGAAATACATAAATCACCATTTAAAAGGCCTTGTCATTCTGTTTTAGAAGAAATAAATAATAGTTTATAACTTTTTTTCTTTCTTTCTTTAAAATACCTATTCATACTGGTTTTACTTTAGTCTATTATTAGTTTAGAAATACTAAAAAAAACATGTTCAACAAACAAAAAAATAAAGAGAAACTTTTATCCATTTCTTATTCTGCTGTTTCTTTTAGTGAGGAAGTGATGTCCTCGCAGCCAACTGTCCATGGCTAGGACTCTTCGGTCTTGAAGAAGTGGCACCAGATGTCAGAGAGCGATCTATGACCTTTATGAACAGTGGTCTGGGGATCACCACCCCTATTCATACGGGTGTCATACCCCTATTCATATGGGTGTCATAAGAGCAGAGTCCATGTGGTGACGGATTAAGAATTTGGAATGTCACCACCCCTATTCATACCGTGGCTGTCGTAAGAGACAAGCAGACTACGCAGGACAACAGCACTGCAAAGAGAAGGAAAACTTGAAACAAACCCTATATCAACCCGTATGGCCAGCGTGGTATTGTAGGCCAAAACCTCCTTTCTAAGGAGAGGCCTATGTCCAGCAGTGGACTGATATAGGCTGTTGATGATAATGTGATGAAGAGCCGACTAAAGGAGCAAACTACGCAGGACAACAACACTGCAAAGAGAAGGAATACTTGAAACAAATGCTATACATACCCGTCTGGCCAGCGTGGTATAATAGGCCAAACCTCATTTCTAAGGAGAGGCCTGTGGAACAGTGGCTAACTAAAGGCTGTTGATGATGTCTCCGGGTTAACCGGCGCATATGTGCCTACAAGTGACAACTTCTACATGCATGTATAGATTGCCTTTTCAATGAAAAATTTAGTTCTTTTTAATAAAAAATGAGTTACTATACACGAGTCAAACTCGTGCGCTGAGGGTTCCGTACCTATCCTTTTTTTTTTAAAGTATTTTAAGTAGATTATCGCAAAAATTTGTAAGTACCAAAATGTTGAAAATTAAGATAAATTTTGGTTTGCTTGCAAGTTTTCGCGAAAATCGAAATTTCCCCATATCTTTTTATCGTGTTGACTCAGGACCTTGATTTTTATACAACTAATAGGGACCATAGACCTCAATATCTAGTATAAATTTCAACTTGCTAGGTCTACCCGTTCCTGAGAAAATCGGTGGTGACACACGGACAGACGGACAATGATCCTTTTTTACCTTTTGAGGTATGGGACCCTAAAAATGAAGTAAGCAGTATCATTTGCAGTTGTATTGTGTTTTAATTAAATATGGTGTCATCTAGTTGAAAATGTATTTTAATTCTGTTTTCTTTTTTATATATATTTCCATTGTTAAATATTTTGTCATTCTTATAAATAGTTTACTAGTTTGCACATACCGTTGCACAACTGTCATTTCTTGCGTACAGTCATAATTTATGATTACAGATTTATTTAGGTGATAGCTAATACATAGCTATTAGCAATATTTTTTAATTAATATACAGTATTAGTTAGTAAACGTTCTTTTAGCCTTCTGTTCGGCTGCATCACTGGCTTCCACAAAAGTCCTTTTTAGTTTATTCTTCCTACTCTCCCGGTACTTTGCCGCAACTTTTTCTGAAAGCTTGGCTACTCTTTTCATGGTCTCTGGTGGGTAGCTGGAAAAAAGTAGGTATTTCAATGAATATATTTTCTTTCGTAGCACTATGGATCTACTTTTTTTTTCGTAAATACATACTGTAATAATAAAAAATAAAAAAATTTAATATATGTTGTGGGGTGTGTTATAAAAGAAATATAAAATAAATTTGGTGGCATCAAATAGAAACAAAATAACAAAATAAAAGTCTCGGGCGCCAGATACCACCTTAAGAGAACACAGAACCCACCACAAACACAACAAATACCTCGGACATCTCAGCCAGCTTTGAACCTTTTTAAAACAAAGCGGGAGGACAGCTAATGAATACAAGGTGTTAGGTTCTATTGGCAGTTTATTTTCCCGTAGTGTCTGTAGAGTACAATGTGTCTTATGTCTCTAATTACAATAGGTAATTCTTATACACAAATTAGTACTGTCATTAATGCAATCCTTTCCAATAAGAAAAATACAAGGTTAAATAAATTTTAAAGAGTCACATGAAGACCCAAAAAGAAAAGAGTATAAGGGTAGTTGTAGCAACGCCCTACTCCCTTAATTAAAATTAACCCCTTTGGGGACCTGTATAGGTTTTTAAACAAAGTCGCATAAAGACTTAATAGACAAAACAATAAACTCTAAGGGTAGACATAGCATTGACCTACTCTCTAATAAAAATAACACCCCTTAGGGACCTGCAGTATTCAATGCCACGTCGCCAAGAAAAATATAACAAAAACTACATACCATAAAACAATGACCTTGGACCAGTCCGAATGACATGAAATCAAACCAACTCCGAAACTTCTCACTCCGGTTCCCACGTGGTGTAAGAGGCGGGTTAGTACTCCCCTGCTCCAGACGATGGCGTGCAGCTAAGCAGCTTTTTCTACCATTCTGAGCTCCACAGCAAACTAATTTCTTGGGGTTAAACTCCGGCGAGAGACAAAAATCCGAATGCCACGCAAGGACATTCCAATAAGAAAGTTAAATAATTTAGGTAATGTAAAGACTTTAGATTTAAGCTAAAAAGAAAAAGAACCCTGATTCATCTGCAAATAAGGAAAAATTATAGGTTAAAAGCCTATCTCATAAGATGAACCATAACTCTGACAAGTAATCATATTACACTTACCAGGGTTCTAAAATGCTTCACAAATCAAGCAGCGGCATTATAAGCATTATAAGCATTGCCTGTAACCAATTAAACAAAGAGTTAAAACCACAAATTCCGCCAAGCCAAGCGTGAAGCACGTGGCCGAACAAAACTCACCTTTTTAACGAAAATAAAAACTCAATCAATAATTTGATTCTTAACGAGGTTGGCCGAAAAATAAAAAGTAAGAAATAAGCCCTCGTAAGACATAAATTACAACAAAAAGTCTACATTTTAAAAGAATCCAAACTGCTTCGTCCGGTCCGACGCCAAGAGTGAAAAAAGTGATACCAGTGCAATAACCTCTCGCTTCATAGAGCGGGGAAACAAAAATGTTGCCTGTACAAGAAAAATAAATCGACTAACTACTGCGGGCGAACAACATCGATTATTACTCTCGTCCGCCCCTCGACCATCGGCACTCGCAGAAACGACAAAAAATTCAATCTAACAAAACAAAAACGAGACTAAGGTTCAAATTACTGTAATGGCGCGAAATGCACCGTTACATTACATACCTTCCCGAAAAAAATAAAAGAAAGGACTCTTTCTTTTATGCTGAAAAGTCACTACTCAACAACATATCAAACAAAAGATTGCAAAATAACTAAACTCCAAAACTGACTCTACCAAAAACTCTACTAAAACTCTACAAACTCCAGGAATACAAAAATCCATACGCCAAAAAGGACTAGGAAACTAAATATAAGATCAAAATATACTCTACAACAAAAACACACAAACCCAAAAACAAATCCCTCCACCAAGCTACCATTAGGACTAGAAAGTCCAAAAAGTGCGGTTAGACACCCTCGTCACCGACTCTAATGGAGCTACAAACACAACAAAATATACTACACAAACTGCTTCCATTGGGAACTGTACATCTAAAAAGATACCAGCTTCCATGAAGTGCGGTTGGACACCCTCGTCACCGACTCTAATGGAGCTGCAAACTACAACAAAATACACTAACAACAACCAAGTAAACTTCACAAACAACATCAAAGTAAACTTCACAATCAACATCCATTAGGAATTGTATCTTAAAAGATATCAATATCCAAGAAGTGCGGTTGGACACCTTCGTCACCGACTCTAATGGAGTTACGAACTACACAAAACAAAACAACATCCATCAGGAAATGCATATCTCAAAGATATCAATTTCCAAGAAGTGCGGTTGGACACCTTCGTCACCGACTCTAATGGAGTTACAAAACGCTTCACCCTAACTTCAAACACATGTCAAACATGTCGAACCAAACAAAATATTCCTCCCAACAAGGCGGGGAGAATATATAAAACCCTGTGCATTGTGATCGGCTCAACTCCACCGAACTACCGGGCACAATGCAACAGAAACCAAACCAAAATATTCATCACAACAAGGCGGTGAGAATATATAAAAAACCTGTGTATTGTGATCGGCACAACTCCACCGAACTACCGGGCACAATACAACAGAAACCAAACAAAAATATTCAGCACAACAAAACGGTGGGAATATATAAAAAACCTGTGCATTGTGATCGGCTCAACTCCACCGAACTACCGGGCACAAGGCAACAGAAACCAAACAAAAATATTCAACACAACAAGACGGTGTGAATATATAAAAAAACCTGTGTATTGTGATCGGCACAACTCCACCGAACTACCGGGCACAATACAACAGAAAGCAAACAAAAATATTCATCCCAACAAGGCGGGGAGAATATATAAAAAACCTGTGCATTGTGATCGGCTCAACCCCACCGAACTACCGGGCACAATGCAACAGAAACCAAACAAAAACATTCAACGCTTAAAAAACGTGAATCCCACCAACAAACCAATCATCACCTGAAAAAAGTGTGAATCCGACAGAAAAAACAAAACAAATCATTCAACACCTGAAAAAAGTGTGAATCCAACAAACAACCTGTTCAACCCTTGAAAAGAGGGCGAACCTAACTCCAACAAAACACTCTACACTAGGTAGAAGTGCAAATAAAATACAAACAAAAGATTCCTTTGATGTGGTTCCTATATGAATGAAGTCCCTGAAATAATAAACCAAAAAGACCTAAGTAAACTTTTGAACTTTTAAACCCTAAAATTAATATATCGGTAAGAATGCCTCTCACTACATCAACATACAAAGTACCATAATCTAGCATACATCCATTTACATACCTCCTCAAACAAATGTGTAATCTAACAAATACATCAAAATTAAGACCAAAAGTCAATGACCGAATAGTGGAATTTTAATACTTAATAATATCTTCAATGTGATAGCGACCAATGGTGTTCTTGAAAGGTCCTGCAAAAGGTAAACATTATCTGAAATTTTCTCTATAATTTTACATTTAATAAACTTAGGTGCAAGCTTTGCCGAAAAATACTGGAGCGCTAGAACTGAATAAAACTTCTTATCCAAACAATATCACCAACATCAAAAGAAATAGTAACAAATAATATTAATATTTTTAATATGTAATAGCAACAAATAATATAAATAAATTTAATATATAAAGCAATGCGCTTTTAACAAATGTGACTCAACTCTAACAAAAATATCACTAAGTGATCCAAAAGAAAGGGCACAAAAATCCCTGTAACAAACTCAAGTTGGTCTAAACTAACAAAAAAATTACCAAAACGGTGTAGAGAAGCATCAACAAATTAACTCTCTACTAAACATGAGAAAATTAGAAGTAAAATCAGTAGCCCAACTTACACCACTATCAAAAGCCAACTAAATGTGAGGTCAAAATTTAAAGCAAGAATAAACTAACAAAATCCAATCTTTAACAAAACATGAAATACAAGTCCCTACCGTCCTACTGTACCTCTCCACAGGGTTACTCTGAGGTGTGTACAATGTATTATAAAAAATTTAGTAATGTTGTAACCTCTCATGAAATCTACAAAATGTTTAGAAATGAATTGAGTACCATTATCGCAAACTATTAATTTAGGACAACCAAATCTAAGAAATATCTCTTTTTCAAGGAACCTACAAATGGATACGGTGGTAGCTTTTACTAATGGAAGAACCCAGCAAAATTTTGTGAAGACATCTACAACTGAAAGAATATATTTATGTGAGGTGCTGTGCTTAAGGCTTTACATGTGTCTCAAGATCTAATGTAATTTTGAACATCATTAAACATACCGTTCCAAACATAATGTTGTTTTAATTTCTTAGTGGTTTTATGAATCCCAAGATGACCAGAATTAATATCATCATGGTTAGACTTAATAGTATCAAGAATATGTTCCTAGGAATAACAATTTTCCAATTTAATCTACTATCCAGATTTAATTTATTCTTACAAAATTTATATAATGTGTTGTCATCAACCCTGAAATTTTTATATCTAGAAGGGAACTTTTGACAATTAAAACAGGCGCAGCCCTATAAGTGCGAAAGAAGGTTTTTAGGTATTCCACCCAGTCCAGAAATTCCCTACGGCATGAGGCTTTAAGTAACCTTTTAGTGTGTCTAATAATTTCTTTAACCATCGAGACATCCTTAGGTTCCTCAGGAACCCGAGCTCGATGGAAACTAATCAGTTTTTTGCCCCGTTAGGGTTCACTTTGGCCGAATTGCACACTTCACACAAACTTGTGATAACCCCCTCCTTCCGGGGCACCTGAAGCAGATCACGCCAGGGATAGAAGGACAATTCCTATAAGAATGACCGACCGACTTACACTTCAAGCACAAAACGCCCTCCTTGTCAGAGGTGACAGCGTTGGACTGTACCCTTTCAAATTCAAAAAATTTGGACGACTCATCTCCGCTGACTCATCCGCAGCTGTGCCAACATCCACATTGGCAGGCGACGTTGAAGGTGGAGCCTCCTTGTCCATAATACAAACCGACATTAACCACACAATTCCAAAACAGCCGTTCAAAGGTTAAGTTTTTTAAAATTAATTAAGTTAAATTTATTCAAAAGTCACTGTTGTGAAAACCTAGGTTTAAATTATTTAAAAGTTAAATCTTATGAAAGGATAAGTTTAAATTTATTTAAGAGTTAAATGTTGTAAACAACCAGGTTCAACTTTATTTAAAAGTTGAATATTGTAAAGAAAAGTCTAAGTTGATTTGAAAGTAAAGTGAAAAGCTAAGTTTTAATTTAAATATCTAAGTTCTGTATTAAAAAGGATTTAAGGATTGCAGTAACCACTAACAATTGTTCTAGTAACTAAATAATAACAGCAAGGCTAAGCTAAGTTAAGTTAATCTTAATTTACAATAAGTTATATTATAATAATTCCAAAGCGGAGGTATCTATAAAATGTTTCTTGAGCAGACTTACAATTAACATTCAAAGCTATTAAATTGTAACACAAAATGTTTCAGTAACTATACCCTTAACTGAGAATACAATAGGCATCAGTATAACTTAAATTATTGTTGTTTGTTAAAGCAAAAATAACATTGTAATGAAAAGTCACAATGTTGTAAACTATTATTGAAAAATTGTAAAAATAACCTCACTTAATGATAATACAATTATAAAATACACAAGGTATATAAGAAAAATATAGGATGCAGTAAAGACAGTATCTAATCAGTTATCTAATTAACCTACAGACACCACTTCAGTCCCTGTGCGCTGGCGACAATTGTAATAATAAAAAATTAAAAAATTTAAAATTATGTTGTGGGGTGTGTTATAAAAGAAATATAAAATAAATTTGGTGGCATCAAATAGAAACAAAATAACAAAATAAAAGTCTCGGGCGCCAGATACCACCCTTAAGAGAACACAGAACCCACCACAAACACAACAAATACCTCGGACATCTCAGCCAGCTTTGAACCTTTTTAAAACAAAGCGGGAGGACAGCTAATGAATACAAGGTGTTAGGTTCTATTGGCAGTTTATTTTCCCGTAGTGTCTGTAGAGTACAATGTGTCTTATGTCTCTAATTACAATAGGTAATTCTTATACACAAATTAGTACTGTCATTAATGCAATCCTTTCCAATAAGAAAAATACAAGGTTAAATAAATTTTAAAGAGTCACATGAAGACCCAAAAAGAAAAGAGTATAAGGGTAGTTGTAGCAACGCCCTACTCCCTTAATTAAAATTAACCCCTTTGGGGACCTGTATAGGTTTTTAAACAAAGTCGCATAAAGACTTAATAGACAAAACAATAAACTCTAAGGGTAGACATAGCATTGACCTACTCTCTAATAAAAATAACACCCCTTAGGGACCTGCAGTATTCAATGCCACGTCGCCAAGAAAAATATAACAAAAACTACATACCATAAAACAATGACCTTGGACCAGTCCGAATGACATGAAATCAAACCAACTCCGAAACTTCTCACTCCGGTTCCCACGTGGTGTAAGAGGCGGGTTAGTACTCCCCTGCTCCAGACGATGGCGTGCAGCTAAGCAGCTTTTTTCTACCATTCTGAGCTCCACAGCAAACTAATTTCTTGGGGTTAAACTCCGGCGAGAGACAAAAATCCGAATGCCACGCAAGGACATTCCAATAAGAAAGTTAAATAATTTAGGTAATGTAAAGACTTTAGATTTAAGCTAAAAAAGAAAAAGAACCCTGATTCATCTGCAAATAAGGAAAAATTATAGGTTAAAAGCCTATCTCATAAGATGAACCATAACTCTGACAAGTAATCATATTACACTTACCAGGGTTCTAAAATGCTTCACAAATCAAGCAGCGGCATTATAAGCATTATAAGCATTGCCTGTAACCAATTAAACAAAGAGTTAAAACCACAAATTCCGCCAAGCCAAGCGTGAAGCACGTGGCCGAACAAAACTCACCTTTTTAACGAAAATAAAAACTCAATCAATAATTTGATTCTTAACGAGGTTGGCCGAAAAATAAAAGTAAGAAATAAGCCCTCGTAAGACATAAATTACAACAAAAAGTCTACATTTTAAAAGAATCCAAACTGCTTCGTCCGGTCCGACGCCAAGAGTGAAAAAAGTGATACCAGTGCAATAACCTCTCGCTTCATAGAGCGGGGAAACAAAAATGTTGCCTGTACAAGAAAAATAAATCGACTAACTACTGCGGGCGAACAACATCGATTATTACTCTCGTCCGCCCCTCGACCATCGGCACTCGCAGAAACGACAAAAAATTCAATCTAACAAAACAAAAACGAGACTAAGGTTCAAATTACTGTAATGGCGCGAAATGCACCGTTACAATACATATATAACACCCACACCGGAACAAATATTTGCAGCTTATACAAACATTTGGTCCGACCTGGGAATCAAACTCTCGCATATGCTACCACTAAACCACCGAGGCAGTGTATGTATGTTTGTAAAGTCACAAGATATATTGCTACTGTGGGAGTTGTCTGTTTTCAAAAGGATATGACACAAAAACTTTTAATATAGCAGTGGAATTTAATGCACAGTATAATCAAAAGGTTTTGCCTTACGATGTGTGAGACTAATGCAATATATTCCCATAGACCCATCATAATCATCATCATTATCAGCCTATCACAGTCCACTGCTGGACCTAGGCCTCTCCTATTCCCTGAGATGGGACCTAGTTAGGTGCGGCGTCGACCTGGGGGACCTGAAATCACATGGCCCAGGTTCTCCCCAGAGCAGGGCGCCTAAGGCCGTCGGAGTGGTTTTTAGTGGAATCACCACATACTCTTGGCTCCTATATCCCCAAGGAGCTGGAGATCCGAAGGGATTTTCCACTCAGTCAACAAAAAAAAAAAGGCCTCTCTTATTGCACTCCACTTTCAATTTGGGCCATGCAACTTTTATTTTTCTTACTCCTTATGCACAAGAAGTATGATTTGTACAATGGCCGACTTAATGCCACAGGCATTTTCCCCCAGTCTACCTTAGGGCGGTACTGAAGTGTGTGACACGAAATGAGGTGTGTGTGGTGAACCACTCGAATACACACACACACACACACACAGAAGAATTATATTTATATAAAGATCAGCTCGAGAGGTTGTAAATATAGGATTTCAGGTGACGTATTGGTCTTTTCTTTCTAGAATTAACAGTTCGTATAAAAGTTAATATTTGAGTACAAATTACGTACCGACATCCTAAGAACTCAATATTAGTGAACAGTTGTGCTAGTACCACGAGTTCATCTTCTTCGAAGTTCGCCTTATGTTCTTCCATAAAGCCTCGTCTAAATTCCCATTGTTCGTCTGATTCATGCTCTGTACGAAAGGAATCGATGTCTATTCCTGGTTTCATTATTGAAATTAGTGTAGCTATAGATTTATTTTAAATAAAATAATACGCTGCTCTCGTTACAAAAGTTTTTCTGTGTTTTGTTTTTTGTCTATTGACAGTCTTGACAGATTTAACATACCGTATTGGGATCAAAAATAGTCATGAAGAAATTAAATATTTTTTTCTATTTTTTTAAGTAATTTAATTATTTGAAAAGTCCATAAAAAAATTAAGATAAACTTGGTAGTTAAAAAATTGTTTGAAAAATCTTAATGTAAAATAAGAATCTTAGCCTTACTTACGTGAAAAGAAACATTCCGATGTTGCCATTTTGGAAGCATTAAATAGCAATACCAAAACAATTAAATACCACAATAAAACTTTAAATCTTAAAACACGAATAAATGAATTTCTTTTGAAGTCATAAAACATTCATCAAAAGCCATTGTAACAAATGACTATAAAATATTGTTATTTTGCTAGCTAAAGCACTGAGATATAGTAAACAATGTTATTGTTGCGAAAAATAATTTCGAATTAATCCTGAAACAAGTTTTTTCAGGACAGAATGCTAATGTTGCTTATTATTATCAAGAGCAATACACTAGTCGCACATGATGTATATCAGAAACAACAACAATCACAACAAGCTCGTTTTTAGGGTTTCGTAGTGGGATAAGAAACCCATATTTCGTAAATGTTGTCATCATCATCAGCAGCCTTTAATAGTCCACTGCTGGACATACGCCTCCCCTTAGACGCACACCGCACGCGACCCACGACCGACAAGTGTCCGCGGCCGGTAGCGTTCGAATGATATGCACGGAAATGCTCAGCGCTGGGTTCTTCGATTGGTCAGAGAACCTCAGGCCTCAGAAAGGAAGTATTGGTCTACTATATCACGCTGGCCAGACGGATTGCTATAGGATTTTTTCAAGTTTTCCTTCTCTATGAAGTGAGTGGTTCTCCTGTGTAGTTTACTTCCTTAGTCGGCTCTTATAAAATCAAGGGATGAATAGGGGTAGTGACACTCTGTATTCTTAATCTGTCACCATATTTAAAATTGTAACATAAAAGTGCAAACAAGAGAAAAAAAAACTTTTGAAAAGAATTAAAATCTTATTTAACCGAGATGTACCTCTACTTATTCGTAGGTAATTATGTAGGTACTCTATATTCCACGCCATGAATGAGCACACAATGTACAGTCTCTGATCTCTTACAGGCAACCTATTATACCGTATAGTAAAATGTAGTTTGAGCAATGATATTTTAAGGAAGTTCCGTAATATTTATACTGCACGCACAAACATATTTGTTCCTACATACTAGTACATACATACGGTTAAGAAACAAGAAATCTATTAATACATTTCAGAACAAAACATACGCTTACCTGAGGTATATTCCTTTATATTTATTTACCTTTTTATCGTAATTTGCGTAACTTTAGAATATCAGGAAGGCATTTCATGAATGTTCTCGAATTAATAAGACGTGCGCTCGCTCTCAGTGGTCCTAATTAGGACTCTCCCATTAATTATAGATTAGTAGCCAAGGGCTGTAAGGCATCAATTGCAGCCCGAGATATTTATTTAGTTCGAGGGTGCAATTGATGCTTACAGCCCTTGGCTACTAATTACATTAAGGTAAACACTAAAGTAGTCCAACGTAAAAGTACGTCCAACGTCCACAAACATTAAAGTAAAAGTTTTCTATTCCCGACTTTTTCATTAAAAAGAATCAAGGAAAGAACTTTTTAAGTTTTTTTTCAAGATCGAAATTGCGCGTTGTCGCGTGCTACTCTGCTGAACAAACAACTTTTACAATACACTGTGAAAGATATATTAGTAAAAGTTGTTGAATATGTTAAAATTTGTATCGTAACATTTTTCGACGATGATGATGATGATTCCGATGATGATTGTTCGGACATTATTTCATTACCTATTAGTTTACTTTTTAGAAAATCAATATTTGAATGCAAGGTGCCTGCTATGTGGCAATCAGCTTATACTACGCCGATAAAAAGGGCTCCAAAATCGAGGTTAGCAACTATCATCCTATTTCTAAGTTATGTATTGTAATGTAAATCTTTAGAAAAATTATTCATACGCAACTTTAATCTTGTTCTTTTTCATGAATACGTCACTGACAGCTTAAGTCAGGGTAAGCAGGTAGATGTAGTTTATACTGACTACAGTAAGTGTTTTGATAGAATTGATCATTCCATCCTAATACAGAAACTAGGGGCAGCAGGCATACGCGGAGACTGGTTCAGGTGGTTCCAATCTTATATTTCCAATAGAACTCAAGCGGTGGCATTGGGCGGTTACAGTTTTGGTTGGGCTACCGCGCCCAGCGGTGTACCACAAGGTTCACTGATGGGTCCGCTGCTCTTCGTAATTTTTGTAAACGACATCACTGAGTGCTTTCATTCATATAAGCTTCTTTGTTTTGCTGATGATATGAAAATTTACTCCTCGGTGTCCTCCCGGGCAAATGGACAGTCGCTCCGTTTGGATATAGGGGAAGAAACAAACTGGACTTGAACCCATTGAAGTGAAACCCGTCGTCACATTCCTAATTAAAAAAAAATGATCTCAATTATTGTGTATGTGTCATTTATGAATAAATGGCAATTGTTTCTCTAAAGAAACGAGTTACATTTATTTGTTAGACTGCAAGTTTAATTTTTAGTAGCATTTTGGAAAAATCGTTGTCTTCTTAAACAAGCTGCAGAGGCAAATGTTTTCCGGCTTTCATTTTATATTTCAGGATTCCATAACAGAGTTTTGTCGATGTATTTTCCTAAGATTAGAAAATAATAATTATGATTTACTTAGTTTAAATAGTAGTATGTACCTGTGTGTATTTTAGTGCTCGTGAAAAATTAAATCCTGATACGAAAACATCACACCCATAGGTGGCAAAGAGATCGAGAGCAAAAAACTTAATATCAAATGGTTAGTGTGTACTCTCATTAAAACTTTCTTACAACACAACAGAATTATTTATCCAGAGATTGAGATCAGATCGGTGCAATTTTGAAATTAGTCTGGCAACAAAATATTGACATATTACAAATAAGACAAAGGCAACGGCGAAAAACCGAACTAAAGTTATTTCCTTTGTATCTCTATGTTTTTATACAAGTAACGCCACAAAAATTATCAATCGATATAATTCTAAATTTAGCCGGATTATACACTTAGTAGATTTTACATTTTTGTGTTGTACTCAGTGTACTCGACTTGACAAGTTTAAGACGTTGCAGTAAATTGTTGTAGCAAAATATTTTTTTTCCAATTATACTTGTGGGTAAATGTAATAAATATATCATAATTTCTTTCTCAAGATGACATGACATTTAAAAGTGTGGTCTATCCATCGGATTGTCATCAGCAAAGGTAAAAATAAGTATATTATTTATTCATATTAGCAATTCTTTGTTAGGATGCATATAAATTGTATATAATTGTCTACCAGATAACTGGAGTAACTGTAAACAAGAGGTAGATAGTACAATCGAGCTGGGCGAGAGCGCGTAACACATAAATATGGCGTTTTCTCTTAGAAAGATGTTTTCCAATATATCTTATTTTTCGAAATCTGGAGATCAAAACAGTCCAGGTGAATATAGACGAGAAGAGTCTCCTTCGCCAAATTATTATGCTAATGAACCATCAAAAAGCATAGATTTCGAAGCAATTGAGCCTGATTCCACATCAAAACCTACGTCCACAAGCTTAAAGTTACCTGCGTCAATCCAAAATTTCACAGCAAGTAAAGGATCCCTGTCAGACACAGATCTGCTTAACATTGATGTCTCTAAGAGCCGGAGATCTAAACAGTTGAAGCTGGATATAAAAAAGGCAAGTCAGTCCTTGACGGAGAATTTGTATTACACGGACAGTGCGTATATTGAGAATACACCGAAACATATCTCGCTGGACTCAAAAAGTGCAGATTTGTTCAGTGAAAAGTTTAGAAAATTAAATTTCAATAATTCCTTTGATTTTGATATGACATCTGAATCGTCTGAAGATGAACTGGGTATTGAGTCACTATCTGAATGCTCAGATACTGATATTTCAATAAAAAATGATATTGAAAAGTTGGAAATTAGAATGTGTAGGAAAGTTGATTCCAAATGTGAGACCGCACCCCTTCCTTCTGTTACTCCTGAATCTTTTGGAGATGTGGAATTGGATAAAAATGAAGAAGATAGAGTATTATTGCTTTTGAACTACCAAATGAAATTTGAGAAAATTGAACGTCTTTTAAAGAAACTCCTCAGTGAATTCCAGTTCCACATTGAGGTGTCAAAAATTTTTAATGGCAGGTCCATTATGACCGTTCTGGCTGGCACTGATGTTTCTAACATTCCAAAGGATTTGGGACAAGTTATGTATATGGATAATGTAAAATGTGAGAGTCCTACGGACTCCTGGAACGTTGTAATCGAAAAAGAAGATAACAACACTAAAATAAAGTTCAGGAAACAGATATTGTCTCTCAAAAATTGCTTAGACCAATTTGCATACAATTACTTGCAAACTTTAGACGCTGAAGATGGCAAACGTCAAAGAATGAAGAAAAGTATCACCTTCGACCTTCATAAAGGGCAGCGTATTCATAAAAACATGAAAATGTCAACCAAAAAACGCATGAGACACTTTGATTTTCCTGATTACAGAGACGCTTTCTTAAATTTATTTGATATAGATACAGCAGATGGAACTGATATACAAATGCAGCAAAATCATGATGAGTGTTTACAGAAATGCTGCTGCAACTGTCACAACCCATCTCTGGACCACTCGGACGACTCTGGTCTTACTACGAAAACTGAGAATCTATCAAACCAATCAATCACTTCATCAATTGGGAACTTCAGCTTAGATTCTATTACACTGTCTGCTTACTCCGAGTCATTGGACCAGATCATAAGTTACAACAGCTTCCAGGACACCAGTCTCCTCAACACGCTCTTGCAGAAGCCAGCGATTGAACGTATTACTTTTTATGTGCAAGTTCATAGTATCCAATTGACATGTGAGGCGGGTGATGGTTATGAATCCAAAAGTACAATTACTTTTCTCTGCCCTGCTTGTGAAATAACTGAAATTGAAGAAGATGAATTGCTGAGGCATATTCTGAGCCAGACACATTGCGAAAAAATTCATTTTCTCTACAAGACTGCATACATAAAGAAATGTGTTGCAAGCGGAAAGGAAATTCAGCCCAGTACAGTTTTGAATCCCATGAGATTATATCGGGATGATAATAAAATTGTTTGCTTTGGTGATGCTGTCTATGCATGTTCGCTGTGTTTTGAAAATTTCATTGTGGGTGAGTCTATTCTTATGGCTCACTGCAATGATGAAACCCATTTGGAGCGTAGAGATAAGTTGTCTGAGTTATACGAGTGAACAACTACACTTTAATGTTCCTTAGCTTTGTTAGACAGTACATAAATAAAAAACATTCACAGTTCGTAAGTTGTCTCTGTATGACTTACTATTTTTGAAATAAGAATGATAAGAATACCAGTGCACAAAATTACTGCAGGATTAGTAAATTGTGTTTATATGTTTGGTTGTGTTTGTCATAAGACTAATTTTCAAGCTTCCTATTAACTAATATATTACTGTTTAAGCTGAATCTCCTAGTATGACTAGCTCAATTTATGTGAAAGCGTTCATAAACACACTTCTATTTTGGTCTAAAAACTCAATGCATGCATAATTTTATTTATTTTTAAATTCTTGCAACTTACATCACCCAAACGGCTCTAATCTTTCAAGGTCCTACTCTATTATACAGTAATGAAAGAATTAATGAACGCAGGATCGGTTCAGTGCATTTTAATGTACAAAATATATGTATCTAAATGAAATAGGTGAGATGTAATCTCCTTCATATATGCAATATTACAATCAAGATAATAAAATTTAAAAGAAACTTTTGGAAAAAAACAATGTTTTTACTTATTGCAATAATAGCAGTATAAATTAAATTAATAGTTTCACTATTGCCGTTAATATTAAGCTGTCTAAAAAGAAACATGTTTTGAAGTTTGGTGAAATTAAGCTGTTTTTTTTTAACAAGAAATAATTTATATTGATAGTTGTATACTAATCTGAGTGAATGATTCAAAAAATTTTACTTCTTTACACCTCATAATAATGAAAAATAGTTTGTTTATATTATTTGATGAAAAGAAAAAAAAAATACCAATAGACGAACATGCAAACGATTTTTAAAGTTTTGTTTTTAAGATCTTCTATTATTCAATGCCAATGAAATAAGCCAAATGAAAAAGTGAATTATGGTCGAAATTCGATCACTGAACGATCTCTGATATATATTTCTTCCTGTAATTTAAGTCAAAAACATTTATATAAATTACTAAACTATAATCCAAAGTGTGTTAAAGTTTTTTAATAAGAAAATGTATACTGCTATAATTGTACTATGTTTAAAATCTTCCTAATTTAACTAACAGTTTATTATGTATTAACCTAAAAATAATCATTTTTTGTATGAACGCTTTCTAACACACTACATAAAACACATTTTGTAGTCAACAATGGAATTATATTGAGTTTAAGACAGAAAGCATGTTTGCATGGTTATTAACTACCTAATATTGTGGAAGGTTGATATAGTTAGCTTAGATATATATAATATTGATTGTTTTTAACATATATTTAGCTTTTTCACTATCTACATAAGCAAATGACATTTTTATTCTTTTTTATTTCTTAATTTACTTCCTTACTTTTTTATGTATAGATCTCTACATTGTTAAATTATTTGTTGTCCTTTTTTTGATTTAAAAGGCAACATAAAGTTAATAAATTAGTCAAAATAAGAAGGTGCTCACATTAAAACTTGTTTCGAGTTAGGTGTTAAAGGCTGTCCACTTATACATTTTAGTCGAATAAAAAAACAGTTAATGTTGCGTATTTTTTCGCTTTTTTTTTTATTATGTATCCCGCCATTACTATACTAAAATGGCGCCATAGGACACTAAGTATTTAGTATATTCATATCAGTTAATTAGTACCTTTTTAAGTCATTCTAGTTTTAATGATGACGCCATAGATAATAAATAAAATTTTATTTTTAGTGATAAATCGAGAAGCTTTTTACAGTTATATTTTAATTTCATAATATTTTGTAGTAATATTTAAGTTTTATTATATTTTGAGCTTTAATTTTCGAAAATCAAATTCTTAGTACTTACTATTTATATTTTTAGCAAATTTAAATGTATTTTTTTTGTGTCAAAAGCGAAAAAATATGTATGCAACTCTCACACAGGGTGTTATTAGAAGACTTGGTCATTTTTTAACTTTTTTTAAATCATCTAGCTCATAATATAGGATAAGCACATTAATCATTACGTCTCAATGTAATCGTAGTTTAATAAAAATTAAACAAAAAAGAAAAAAAAATCCTAGTTGTAGATGAAATAGACACATGTCAAAAAATCAATGAATACAATTATTAATTAAAAAAAAACATTGATCACAATTAAAAATAAATCGAGCTTTGGTAGATTTTTGTTTCTATTTTTCACTATTATCCAAAAAAGTTGTTAAATGTATCAGAATATTACCCGCTATGAAAAATACGTATATTTTACAATTTGTTAAATAAAAAGCAGTTGAAAACTTCGAAAGTCATTTGAATCTACATAAGTATCTCAATATCATTAATAAATGTTGTATAATTTAGTAATATGTTGTTTACCGGTATGAGAATTAATTAGAAAGTACATAAAGAGTTAAATTATGCGCTCTTAATCATTAATTTACACACACTATCATAAACTCTCTCCTTTGGGGTAGAAGTCGGCCTAGTCCGAAAGAAAACAATCTTTTTGCGTCATTTTATTTATGACAGTGATATAATTACAGTAAAATGACAATAGGCTGCAATAAAGTTCCCATTGCCTTTTTATTATATATGATTGGAAAAAAATATATTAGCTATTATTTATTAGTTAATTATGAAACTTAAACGTAGTAGTTTATTGTTATTTATTACTAAACCAAGCGCAAATTAGTTTTATGGGAATCATCAAAATCTTACTAGTTCAGTTATATACACATGATAAAATATAATATAACAAAAGAGGTCTAATGGATTTTAGATATGGTTGTCATAATTTCTCTACTGTCAAAGTCAATTAAAAAGAAAAACTGGTCTGTTCTCATTTGTGTTCGTTTTAATTATTTCTCATGCCGGTTTTGTAAGCAAATGGTGTGTTAGTCAATAACTATTTATATTGATCTCACGATGCCTCAAAACAAAAATAAATACTCGAAAGACTGATTTTTGATGCCATTTTGTTTTTCAAAGGAAACATTGTTATCCTGGAAAATGTGAAAGAAACAGTAAAAATAAAGGAATACTCGAAAAAATCTGTGATAAAAATTAACAATTTTGTGTCCCTTCACCATTTAAGGCATAATTTTCGTTTCATTTAAAATATTTAAAAAAAAACTGTGATATTTTCATCGTCTATGCGTGTTTATAAAACTATTTGGTGAAATGATGTGCAATGAGTTTTATAGTTTTCTTTATTTTTACTGTTTTTTTTTTATTATCATTATTCTGCAACCGCCTATGGTAAATAAGTTAATAACTTTTTTACTTAAACACCTGCAGAAAACACTAAAAAATGTATACTATATCGTTGAATAAATCACATTATTTGACATAATCCTCACAAATTATAGATAAGGCAATATTTAACAATACCAAGTTAGAAAATAAAAAATAAAAATCAATCGAACAATTTAATTATAAAAAGATGTAACTTAGAGTACACTTAAGAGTAAAATTTAAAAAAGAAAAAAAAAAAAACATAATAGTGTAAGGCATATCCTTTCTAGGTATGTAGCTATGTAAGCCAATTGTAACCAGACGTCGAATTACACTTAGTATGTAATTATCAATTATTAAAATGTAATTTCAATTTGCAAAATGAATGATTGGCCTTCTACCCACAAGAGGCTTTTCAACTCGAAATATCGAGTATATTCTCCAATAATCTTTAGGTTTTTATGTTATAAATAATACAACCCCTAAGATTATTGTCTTTGAACAGAATATTTTCGAAAAACAAAAAACTTGTCAAATTAGGTTTCTTCAGAGCGAGAATCAACTCATGGTCTTTTTATCCGTGACTAGTAATGTTCCAAACATTCATTTTGAACAATGTAATATTAAGATATTCAAACTTTTAATTCTTGCGAGATTAATGTGTTTTAACTGCGAGCTATGAAAATAAAATAAATTCAAAATAACACTTCTGTGATCCCAACTGTTATTAGGACATAAAAAATAGTTGTTGTAATTAATTGTGCGTTGGCATTTGAAAAATAATTTGTTTTTACATCAACATGGCTACTATCATAATAAATACAACCCCCGAGGGATGTTAAGTGTGGTTAGCGATATTTTGCTTTTACTGAAAAGCACAGAACGCCAAAATTATTGGTTCAAATTATATTTTGTAGAATGTGGTAATTTAGTCATAGATTCCGAGGTGTACTCGCACAAGACGAAGCTCTGGGAACTAAACTAAATACAGATTTTATTAATTTTGAGCAAGTTTAGCAGTTTGAAGCCGTGAGTTTTGGTCTACCTAATAAAAATTGAGTATATTTTCATCTTCTTTATGTTTTAAGGCACTTAAACTTTTTAAATGCTGTAAAATCGCGCTTCACAATAATATAGTTTTGTTTGGGCTTAGTGATAAACATGGCCATTTGAAGACCACGATATTTTTTTTACTATCCTATCAGAAAGTTCTAGATAAATAACAAAAAATCTTTTGTCAACAAATCGTTATGTTTTTTTTTGCAACTTTCGAATCTGTATTTTGTTTATCTGTTGTCTTAAAAGTTAATTTTAAAGTGGCATTAAAAATTACAAGGTTATTGTTTACAAGTCATTATAAATGACTGTATACAATAGTTTTTATTTAATAGTCTCAGATTAAGAGATAATAAGATTAAGAATATTTTGAACCCTAGTATCAATAACGAACTCCATATTTGGGTAATCATATCATAATGATAGTTATAAATTGCATTTATTTTATAACACGTAACAGATGCAAAAAAACATAATTATTTCCTTCATCGCAATTATTTAAAATTTGAGCTTCCGCAATTTTGTGAAGAATTATTCTTCAAAAGCCAAAGCACCGAGGCCGTCTGATTGTAATCTGTGATCAACTAAATCGTGTTCATATCAATAAATGACGGTTGTAAACAACAGCAGCATTTATGTTTATTACTAATCGGAATGTTATTTTCTTGATCTCGAACTTCTTCAACTGCCTTCAATATTTGCATGAAACTTACTAAAATCTGAATATGAGAGTTCCTTAGTAATAAAACTTGTATTT